AAAGGGGGGAGGGCACTTGTCTCCTCCCTCCCCCCTCCAAATGAAAGGGGCCTCATGGATCTACCACCACCCCCTGCCAGAGGAGAGGGCACATGGCTCTGGGCCCCACGCCCCCACCAGAGTACCTGGGAGGAGACAGAGACAAGGCGGCCGAGGCCAGAAGGAATAGCTGCAAAGTGACATGATTACCTCACTGTTATCCCACAGGAAAAGTTGAGAGATAGAGACAGGGAGAGGGAGAAGAAAGGGGCCTCATGGATCTACCACCACCCCCTGCCAGAGGAGAGGGCACATGGCTCTGGGCCCCACGCCCCCACCAGAGTACCTGGGAGGAGACAGAGACAAGGCGGCCGAGGCCAGAAGGAATAGCTGCAAAGTGACATGATTACCTCACTGTTATCCCACAGGAAAAGTTGAGAGATAGAGACAGGGAGAGGGAGAAATGCACAACTTTCTGAAGTCACAACCAGTGCAATGGTGATAGGATTGAAAGTTTTATCCTTTTTATATTTGTATTTTTAGGTTTAATAATGTAGCAATGTAAGGTAATATATTATTACATTTAAATGAAGCCCTTTAGAAAGATATATATTTTAAAGTTTAGTAAGTAAAGAGATAGAATCTCATATTGTGTCTATGTTAATGAGATTAGACATATTGAAGGCCCGGGCCTTCGATGTAATTGTTTTGATTTTGCCTTTGCTTAATATAAAAGAGTACTGTTTACTTTTGAAGGATTTTGTGAAAGACTGTTTGTGTGAATGAGATAATGTGTGAAGGTCATCATTAGAGCCAGATGGTCAAGAGAGAAGGGGGGCAATGCGGGTGAAGACAAACTGTAAGAGACAGTCTGCGAAAAAACATATTGGCGTCAGAAGAACTATCAGTGCATATCCACGGTCAAGAATTGATCCGATTGGCAGACTGACCGTTCTAAACGTGAAGGCATCCCTAAAAACAACTGATTAACAATCCAGAACAGGATGAGCCTCTTGGAGATGTTTTGGGAATGATTAACATCAACAAGGTAACAGTAACTTGTCACAGACTGCCACAGTGAAATCCACAGACTTCAACAGAGAATAGGATTATAAAAGCAGGGTGCCTTGCTATGAAACTTTGGGTTCATCTTGCCACCTACTCCAGAGGAGCATCGGATTGATCAACTGACAGAGCCCGGCTCCCCCTCTGTGATCAATCTGGGTGGCCACTAGATTGATACAGACTCTGGACTGGTAACTATAACATTATCTGGCGGGACAGCATGTGAGTGAAAATCATATGCAACTGTTGTATTTTCAATAAATGCAGCGTACTTCCTTTTCCCCTATAAAAGATCTCATGTACTTCATTTAAGCATAACAAAAGCAGTACAGAATTTACTGGAACAATTCCTGCTTCACTCTTCTAGTAACTGTTAAACACCAGCTGTATTGACATTTTTGTAAAATGCTGAAAAGTATTGTCTCTACTATGCTAGTCCCCAGATTGTCAAAGTCACAAATAAAACGGATATTCAAACTATTTTTATTTGTGTGTGTGTGTGTGTGTGTGTGTGTGTGTGTGTATATACACACACACACACACACACACACACACACACACACTAAATTTATAGCTAGAAATGCTTCTCATGGGACCACTACATTGAATAAACTGAGTACATTTTTCCTTTAAAAATCTATTCATACACAGTCTGCCTACTAGTAAGCAGCAAGTGTGAACAGAACTACCACCACACAACCATTTAATACATATGAAAAGATTAATGAACACAAAGTTTCTGAAGCATCAGTGACATGAAGGCATATTACTAAATACTGATGAAAGATTTATGAAAAAAGATTAGCTATTGAATGATGGACAAAAGGTATGTTAGGGTACAGGCAGTCCCCAAGTTACGCGGATCCGACTTACGTCAGATCCGCAGTTACGAACGGAGCTTTTCTCGCCCTGGAGGACAGGAGCGGCAGGACGCCCAGATGAGCCGCGGGCCCGCCGCCCCCGTCCTCCAGGGCTAGAAAAGCTGCTCCTCATCTCCCTGGTCTGCTGGTCAGACCAGGGAGACAGGGAGCAAAGCCTCGGAGGCCGCCCGCAGCGGGACAGCCTGGACGCGCTTGAGCCGTCCCCCTGCCGGGG